TACCATGGAGAAGTGCATTCCCACCGAAAACTCGATATGCAAAATTTGTTGCCATCACATAACCTACCTATTGTTTACACAATACGGTCGGTAATAATAATGTGTAGAATTTTTACTACAAGAATTCTTGCAGAAAAAGTCTAACTCTATATTTGAGAGAAATTTTGCATTTTTCTATATTAGAAAGTAAACTAATACCGTAAAATAGAAAAAAAATTTGTAATAAATAATTTTCAATTAAGTATCAAATGAATTGCCTTGACCAAAACTATCACAAAATAACTGATATGATTAACTATCACAAAAATCAACACTGCATGAAAATGCACTATATATGCAGCTATAAGATTGCCAAGCAAAATTGTAGTCATTTAATAGGGAAGGAAAAGGTAATGACGAAGGGTGAGTAAGAGTTAGTTTACTTGAAATCTTATTAACAGATAAGAGTTATTTTATACTCTTCTCTTAATAGGTAACTGAGTCGGTTATCTGTTCATCTGTTCATCTGAAAAATCGTAATAAGTCAGGTTAGAGTTAATATACGAGATCGAGGGAAATATTTAACTTAATATAGGAAATTATTGTTCTTTTTATTACTTGAACTTTTGACTTTTGTACATTCATTAAACGCATTTAGCTTTACTTTTTTAATAATACTTGTAGTAAATAAATACGAAACTGCAATTTTTGTAAAATATGGTTCTTTCCCAACCAATTTGGTAATTTTTTTAGAAAAAAGAATACGAATTTTTGAACCGAACTTTTGTACTAATATACATATGCAAAAAACGGGGAAAAATGTCTGTTTTTGCATATGTATATTAATTTTTGTCAAGAAAACTTTCTCTTCATAAAAGAAAAAAATCAGGTTGAACGTTCACTACAAAACACAACCTAAAACCTCAATACCTGAAATGAATTTTTGAAATTTGCAATTTATGTAAGTGTGCACGAAATATAAAATTATAATATAATTACATTTTCAATTTAATTCACCAAAAATTATATGAGTTGTAATGCTTTCAAATTGACCTTTCTGAAAACAAACCAATTTTTAACCTCTTCGTTTACTATTCAAGAAATTTGAAAAGAAAAAGGTAAATTCAGTGACATGCTATAAATTTTTTTTGCAGGCAGCATTGTAGAAAAATGTTTTTAAGAATATTTTTCAAAAGCTTTTCCTTTAACCATCATTCACTCAATAGCTGCATGCTAATTGCACTATTCATTTTCCAAGCTAAAACTGTTATTTTGTATAAAGCCTTTCTTTTCATTCTTCGATTTGTTATTTGATTTTTCTCGATTTTAAATTAAATTTTAATGAAGAAACTTTACATTTTTAATTAACTTCAATTTTAATTAAAAAAAAAAATATATTTAGAAAAAAATAATAATTTTTCTATTAGAATTCCTGGAAAAAAAATTGATTTTTTTGTTAAGGAAATTATTAAAATAGAAACAAAATAACGACAAAATTTACGATAATGCAAAAGTTTTTAATCTTAAATTAAATTTTTTATTACTCTTCCCACTTAATTCTTTGTTAAGATATTCATTGCCATTCTAGTAATTTGTCTTCTAAGTCATTTTTCTTTTATATTTAAAAAAAATTTTCTTTAGTTTTTGTCCAATAGCCTTAAAATTACTCTGTATAATTATTATCATGAAAAAATGCTGTGTGAAAATATAATTGTACTAAAGACGACGGCTGGCCTTCCTCATAAGTGCTTCTTTTTCGCTCTAGTAAACTTCAGCTTAATCCAATTCAATTTTCAGTAAAGAGCATTTAGTTTTTGCCTCTGTTAACGGAAAAGATACAAAAAAATTCTGCAATTTCCTTTTTATTCAATTTTCCCTTATTTTTTTTTTTTTTAATATTTTTTTTTCTTCATTTTTTTTTCTTTTGTGTAGACAACAAAGTTTTGAATCTAAGATAGGCGCGCGTGGTGTAAAAACTTTAAAAGTTAAAAATTTCAAAGAAAAAAAAAGAAATTGAAACAAGGAGTGGAAATTGTGGATGCACTCCCACGTTGTTGGTGTTCATCAAAAAAAATTTTCTTTGAAAATTTTTTTTTTGCATTTTGGAAAATTACGATATCATTTTTCATATTTCTTTTTTTTTACTATTGTAAAATTTTTTTTTCATTTCTTCTTTGTAAATTCTCATTTTCTCTTCATAAATTCTCATTATACTTATTACTCTTAAATTCTAATTATAATAAATTAGAGAGATAAAAAAATCACTTTGAAAAATTGCATAATAAATTCTCAGAATGCGTCTGGTAAGCTAAGTGTAATTATTTTATGAACTTAATTAAACGTTCTTAAAATATTTAAGATGGTCATTCATAAAATTTCAGAATAATGAAATATGGTTACATACTACCACACTTCGATTTTAGGAACAATTATTTCTGCAAAAAAAATTATTGTTTTTATCATGTAATATCAATGTAAACTCAATATTTCAAGCGTCTAATTTTGATTCATTTTTCAATCAAAAGTTAAAATTGAATATCTTTTTCCAAAGGTTTTTTTTCTTAAAATTTTTTGCAACGCAGTTAAAACAAGACCCTAAAAGTAGGCAATTTTGTGTTAAAATCAAATCTATTTAAAAATTATTAAAATTTTGATTAATGCTAGTTTAGTAGTTATCTTTTTACATAAAAATGGTAAACTAATAAGTCAATCATAATTTAAAAACCTTTTGTTAAAAATTACAAATGCCGGAAATTAATTAAAAATTTATCCGAATTTTCTATAGAGAAATTTTGAACAAGAAGGACATGCGAAGGATTTTGTAATAAATGTATGGTATATAATTTTATTCAAGTATACCAACAATGTCAACTCAAAGAACTCGTAAATAATACAATTTTCAAACTCTTCTAAATATTCTAGAAAAATGCATTCAAAAAAAGTGCTCAGTAATTGTTAAAAAGTTTGGAATATCAAATGTCAAGAGTATAATTTCTATAATATTAAATTTAATACTGCACTTTTTTATCATAATACTGTTCTAGTTCTTAATTATAACTTTTAATTAAATAATTCAAATCAAACAACAAATTAGCTTAACCTAATTTGAACTGTCAAAATTAAAAAAAGATTTATTTTGCAAAACTTATGCAATGACTTTTTAAATTTAAAAAAAAAAAGAAACCTAGAAATTATTAAAACAAAAAAAATATCCTTGCTACATAGTTCTATATATATAGAACTAAAGGAACTAAATAAGAAATACTTCCACCATATTTAGAAAAAAAAACTCGAAAAAAATGCAACAGCCAACAGAAAAAAAAAACTTGAAATTACCGTGCAGAAAAAGAAAAAAAAAACAAAATGATTAAAAAATTTTTCACCTGTTCCTTTTTTCATTATTTTTTTAAAGTAATCAACAATCGTTCAGGGTTTTCTACAAAAAAAACTTCTGTGTTTTTACTCTTTTCATTTTCGATTTTATTATAGTCTTTTTCTTCTCTAGTTTTTCAGTTTGTTTCCACTTTAATGATAAATAATTAATAATTAAAGTTTAAACCACTCTTTAAAAATTTCATAATGTTTTCGTCTTTTATTTTGAGAACAAAATTTGTATAAGTGTATTTGTATAACAGTTTACGCCATTACTTGAAAATAGATTCCATTAAAAATAGAAATTTCCACTTAAGTTGAATGCATTTCATGGTCTTATTTTATGTATGATTGTGTATGAAAATACTGCTATGGCGGCTACTCTGCAAGCCCAGGTTTTACAACATGTTAGAAAAAAATAATTTTTTTTCTGTTTTGTGTAAAGTAATAAAATTAAATTCTTTATACATAGATTAGTAGATTCGTAAATTGGAACGGGTCAACTTGGAGGGACCAGGTCACTGCAGCTTCAAAGACTTATGTTACATCCCACCACTTATAAAACACCAGCTAGATTTATAATTTTTATTTAATTACAGAGTCGTCCTACACTAAATTCGATTTGTTTTGTAAGAGTCAAACGCACAAATCGCCGCCTAACTATTCGAGAATAGTTTTGTTCACTTATTCCCTACGAATGACTCCGCCAAACCTCTCTGTATATTCGTTATACATATTCTGAAATATTTTTGTATAAGTCAAAAATTTTTTTTTACATGATTACCACCGATATTTGTGAAACTGTATTTTGAAAGTTTGTGAAGCAGTAAACTCCAACTTAACGAAAAATTACAATAAAGGCAATATAAAAATCTTGAGCAAGATCTAAATGGAACTGTTAAATAATGCTCCTGAAGTGAACAGTATGTACAATATTTGTATTCCTATTGAACAACATGAGTTTGAATTTTAACTTCATTATTGCTTTGAAAATAAAAGAACTTTGAAATTGCTAATGAAATGGGCTCACAAATTTTAAAAAATTATTTTAACTACCCAAAATACAATAAAAGTTCGCTATGTGTGTTGTTACTATTTAATTTTCCTCCATATAAAAAACAACACTCTCCATTGCACTTAAATACAAAATTTTTGTTACGTAACTTTGAACAGCAATATCTGTCCTGAAAATGAATAAATACTCGTAATAATCCACGTAATGCCCTCAAATACTTTAAAAATCTCATGGAAAAACAGCATTGATTTGACATAATTGTAAATGAATTCAAACCTTCATAATCTCGAGAACATAAAAATCTAGACCAAATACATTTAAAGTTAAAAATTTTTGGTTATGAATTATGTCACAAACTTAACTTTCATTTATATTTTCTTAAGAAAGTGGAAAAAAAATCTTATCTTTTGCGCTTTTTAATACTTTCTTCAAATTTAAGGGAAAAAATTTAAAGTATTCTAACGTTAGTGTCAAAACATACTAACAAAATTGGTACCTCGCTTGCCTTCTCTTCCATCTGACAAGTGGATAAATAAATTTAAAATTATATTGCTCCTGTACATACACCGTATATACCCATATAGATAAAAGTATTATAACAAAAAAATGCAAATTACGTAAAATTAAAACTTACCAAGAAACCCTTAAGGATTCTGTTGAATTTATATCTTTTAAAGTTGATATTGATGAAGAAACTGGAACTGAATTTCTTTGTTGTAAATTTATGTCAGCAGCATTTGTTTCATCTGGTGTTAATGATAACGACTCGCTATTACTAATACTATTACTGATGCTACTAACACTATTACTAATACTATTTCTGCTACTGCTTACAATGTCGATATTTTTAGAAAACTTTTCTTTTATAACACTTTCATCATTAATAACAGAAATATTACTATTTCTTTGTATAGAATTTTTGTTACTGTTCATTTCATTATTACTGACGATACTATCATCATCATTGAAAGTAACTGGAGGAACGTAAGAGGCAATTGTTGATGTATAAGTATTACTGCCTTTAGCAATGCTATTATAATTATTGTCATTATTTTTGTAAAGAATTTTTGAAACTTCAGAATCTTTATCACTAAAAGTATCATCATCATTATCATCACCATCATTATCATCATCGTCATCACCATTATCATCATTGTTAATGTTATCATCATCAATATTATTATCTTTATTATTAATATTATTATGATAATCATCATTTGACATAATTTTTGATTCAGAATTATATTTTAATGTTGATGTTTGTGAATTTTGCTGTTGTTGTTCTTGTTGTTGCATCACAGTATTTTGTTTTTGTAGTAATTCATTTTGATATGTATCTGAATTAAATTGTCTTAAATTTAGTTTATTATTATTAACGTCATCGTAAATTGACATATCTTGTTTTGAATAATAATCATTGCTATCACTATATTGTAAATTATTTAAATCAATAATCGATATTGATGGTATTGATGGTGCACTTGTTGTTGTTGTAGTTGTGGCTGATGTTGTTGCTGTTGTTGTTATTGAAAATAATTTAGTTTTTGATTTTGTTTTTAGTCCAGTTGATGATGATGATATTTTAATATTTCCTGATGTTATACTACCGGGTGTTTTTGATATTGATTTTGTAATTGATTTTTTTTGTGGTGAATTTTTTATTATTGAATGCTGCTGGGACAATGGATTTTGTTTTGTTTTTATAGATGATTGCTGTTGTTGTTTATTTGTTAAACTTGTTCCAGGTACTTTAACTGAATTTTGTTTAATAATTTTACTATCGTCTGAACTATATGATATGTTATCGTCATTAAATTGATTATTTGATTTATAGTCTTGTGATTGGTGTGATAATTGTTGACTCAAATTAATATTATTTTTAATATTTTCATATGAATTATCAGTATCTTCAATACCATTAGAGTTTTCACTATTTAAATCAATATAATTACTATTAAAATTATTATTTATATTACTATTACTCTCTAATTTAGCGCTAAATGAAACACCTTTTTGATATAATATATCTTCTTCAGATCTTAAGCTGCCATCTTGTAAATATGTATTATTTAATTCTGAAAATTAAAAAAAAATTATTTAAATATAGTCGAAATTTATACATTAAATTATTAAATAATTTGTTTAATAATTTTAAATTAATTTTCCAACAAATATTAGATAAGATTTTTAAGTACAACTATAAATTTTTAATTATGAACTCGCAGAAATAAATATGTATATACTATAGGAAATTGTAATGGTTAATATATTCTTCTGCAGTACACTCCAATGGTTCCAATGCAACAATATCAAAATTTAATGCCATTGATAAGTTTGTAATTTTGCTCAATTTCATATTTTATTTCTAATTTCAAGAACAAAGGACCATTCCATGAAATACGATGCAGATTCTACGAAATACGGGGAAAAACACAAACTGGATGCGGTTTATACTCAAGGTAGTATTATCCGACCGAATTCATTGAAAAATGAGGCTGGAAATCACATTATAGTTAAGAAAGATTTTTATCAAACAATAATCAGTAATACTTTTTGGTTTCAACAGGATAACAAGATACTGTAACAATTACAATTGACTTATCGAATCAAAAATCTTTCAATTAACCTTTTTTTTGTGAAATTGATTTAAATTAAGGTCTTGCCATTTAATATCTGTTCATTTCCTTTCAGACCTAAGAAGCCAATAATTTATAAATTTTCAATAAGTCAATTTTGTTATAGACCGGTGTTGTTCGTATTATTCGTGAGCTTATATGGAAAATAGTTTTCAAAATAATTTATTTGCTAAAGTTTTTTTTTCGATTCAAATTAAAACAAGTAAAAACGTTTCAGTCGGTATAAACCGATTGAATTATACCCTGCACCTTTCGTTATTGTGTAGCAATTACTCGAACCTGTGAAGTCATTCTATAGAAACTTCACGGATATGTCTGACCTATAATTGGACATCCGACTGCCAAGTTTCATGAATATGACTTTATAATTCTTCCAAATAATTAAAATTAGCTTTTGGAGTTGTATGGCAAGTACCTGAACCTGTCAAACAATTCCATCAAAACTTCACAAATATATCTGATCTATAATCGGACACACAACTGCCAAGTTTCATGAATCTGACTTTATTATTTTTCCAAAAATTTAGAATAAGCTTTTAGACTTGTATGGGACCTACTCGAACCTGTAAAGCAATTCCACCAAAACTTCAGAAATATATCTGACCTATAACTCGACACACAACTGCCAAGTTTCATGAATCTGACTTTATTATTTTTCCAAATATTTAAAATTAGCTTCTAGATTTGTATGGCAGGTACCCGAACCTGTCAAGCAATTCCTCTAAAACTTCACAAATATATCTGATCTATAAATGGACATCCAACTGCCAAGTTTCATGAATCTGACTTTATTATTTTTCCAAATATTTAAAATTAGCTTCTGGAGTTGTATGGCAGGTACCCGAACCTATAAAGCAATTCCTCTAAAACTTCAGAAGTATATTTGACCTATAATTGGACACATGATTGCCAAGTTTCATGTATCTGACTTTATTATTTTGCTGAATATAAAAAATTTGCTGTTGGAGTTGTATGGCAGCCACCCGAACCGGTGCAGCTATCCCATTATAATTTTTAAATGTGTAGAATATAATTGGACACATGTATACAAAATTTTATATTTATAGCTTTATTAGTTTTTGAAATATTTAAAATAAACTCTTTGAGTTGTATGGCAGCTACCCGAACCCGTTGTCCGAATTAGTCCAATAACAATAGGGCTCGTCCTTGGCACAAAAGAAAAAACTTGTGAAAGTTTGGTGTCGATTGCATTATTCGTTTTTGAGTTATCGTGCGATCGGACGGACGGACGGACGGACGGACGGACGGACGGACGGACGGACGGACGGACAGACGGACATGTCTAAATCGACGCAGAATTTTACGCTGAGCAAGAATATATATATATGTCCATACCGCAGATGACTCCTTCAAGTAGTTACAAACTCCATACCAAAGTTAATATACCCTTCACGAAGTGCAGGGTATAAAAACACCCTTTACGGAAAAATTTAAAATTTACACAGTCATCATTGCAAAAGGGCTTAATTTACTTTAGATGAAAACTGCACTTTAGTTTTAGACTCTAATGCAATTTGCCTCTATTATATTAAAAATAAACTTAATTTTTTCATGAAATACTGAAGTTTTTTTGACCAAAAATACTTTTTGTAAAGCCAAAATTTTTAACTTATTTAAATAAAGTAAGTTATATAAAAATTTTTTGATGAATTTTTTAAATTTCTTTCAAAACAAGTAATAAGCAAGTAACAGAGTATATTAAATAATAATCACTCAAATTTCTAAAAATAAAAATAGGAAAAAAAAACTCAAAAATTATGTTGCTACAAATGCAAGTTAATAAAATTTTGGGTTTTTTTTTTAATTTTAAATGGTTTTGCATTGGTAACATAAATAAACTCTTGAAATTATTTTAAATCTAAAGTATTTTGGTATTTTACTAAGTTTATTAAAAAAAAACCTAAAATAAATTTCCAAATGGATGCAATTAAAAAAAGTTATTAAATAATTTCTCAATTTTCATGTTATCTACCTTTTCTGTCCCGTTTTGTTTTTTTTCAAACAAAAAATTTTCCTCTAATGGCAGTAATTATTTTCAATTATATCTGTCTGTATGTCACTGAACCTCGCTTTGCAGTATCACTATGATACAAACCATTTTCACTAATACTAATGTAAAAGTATCTTTATAATTATAGTCTCAGGTTTGAAATATTATAAAATTGAATACAATTGCACCTAAAACAAATGATGATGGTACAAAAATGGTAACAAAACAATTCGAGTAAGAGTTTAAAGAATAGACCGCACAACAAAAAGTAATTGAAAACTTTTTTCTCTTCATTGTTTTACAAACTACAATAAAGTACCTTTTATCTCTTTCTGTTTTCATTCTCTCTCTATTGACGTATATCTTTACCTTTCTGATTAATTTCAATTTTATATTTCGGCTCACCTTCTTCAATTTCCCCGCAAAATATAAATCATTCGCAAAATGCATGCAATCTTTTAAAAAATTATTTGTATACAGAGACATTCCTAAATAACATTTTTAAATTGTACATAAATGCAAATTGCTAGATAAATATGAATTCCGAGTCAAATAAATTCGGATCAAATCACTGAAATAATAATACGTATCGTGAAAAATTTATTGCATAATTTTAGAGAAGAGAAAAAGAATTAATATAAAAGAGAGAGAAAGAATTAAATATAGAATAATAGAGAAGAAAAGAATTAAAATATTGGTCGAATTCGACAGCTAATTGAGAAAATGAAGATAATTATATTTATAAAAAAAAATTAAGATTTATAAAAAAAATATTTACTGTTAGTTTTTATTGTTATAGCAGTTGGAAATATTATATTCCAATTTCATCAAACTTGGGCTATAACTAGTCAAAAATAAAAATCTTGCTTTTAAGTGGCGACAGCAAGGAAGGGCAGGAGAAATGGAAAGAATTTTCTCTATTACGAAAAAAAACATTTATTAATTTTTAAAAAGTGCTCAAATCTTAGATTTCTGCAAGGTACTGCATAAAACAGCCTTAAGATGACGGTTAGACATTTTCAAATACAAATATTTGATTTGATATTTGATTTCTCTGGGTAATGGAATTTCAAAAAAATTTGTGATTTCAAAATACAATAAATTGTCAAAATATATCATTTTTGAGGGACTGCTTCTGTCCTTTAGTTAGCCTTTTTCACCGTCTAGACGTCTATTTACTGACGTTATGTTTTTTTTATGAGAAACCTATTTATCAAGAGAATTTTTTACCTACTTACCACACCTGCAAGAAAAGACACAAAAAAAAATTTTGACAAAGCAGAGTTTGTTTTTCATTTCATTTGCAATCTGATGTACAGATTTCTTGAAACAAGAATCTTACAAAAACAACAACATTATTCCGAAGTTAAACAAGCTTAATAATTATTTTCAAATATTTCAACTTCTCTATATTAATTGGGCCTATTTTAAGTTTCTTTTCACTCCTATATTGCACAGTTGATTGGATTACGTGAATTTTTCATTTTGAAATAAAAATTATTTTTAATTCTTTGAAAAAGCAAACCTTATTTCTGGACTGTTTTAAAATTAAAACTCAATCTAAATATACACAAATGATATCATAGAAATTGTATATGAAAAATTTTTATTAAAATAATTAAATTTCAAAAATGTTAATGGCAGTCTTATAGGTTAAATTTTGCAAAATTAAAACTTTTTTATTGTAAGTAAATAATTATGAGAACTACTGTACTACAACATTATACATAGACATTATTGTAGTGGCATACATACGTACTTTATATATATTGAAATACATTTGTAAAATTTATATAGAATTGAAAAATGAACTCAACAAGTTTTCCAAACTTTTCTTTTTTTTTCTTTTTGTTTATTTTTCATTATTTAATTTTTTATTTTTATTATTTTCTGCCTTTATAATTTTGAAAAATGGAAAACAATTTTCCCATAAAAAAAAAAACAAGAAAAACAAAGCCATTATCCTGATGCATAATTATAAATTCATATTATTCTCATTTAGATATTAAATGAGAAGGAGTGAAAGACATAGAATGGGAGAGAGACAGAGCGTGAGAGAGAAGGAGAGAGTAGAGGAAAGTCCTTTGACTATGGGTAGATGACTTGCTTTGTTTGTTTTCCTTTTCTAGTAATTTTTTTTGTCTTTTCTTCTTCTTTTGTTTTTAATTGTTTTTCTCATTTTATTTTTTTTATTATCATTATTATTTCTATTAACAATTATTTTTCTATTCATTACTTTAATCAAAAGAAATCAAAAAGAAAAAAAAAGAGCCTCAATAAAATATGATTTATGTGAATTGTTATTCCTTTTCTTAGTTTTGTAATTAACATAAATTGGACCCTTACAATATTATCTGATCTTAATTTCTCCTCCTCAGTATAATACTTACGTAAGTTTTAAAATAACAAAATTAAAGTATCTTAATGT